TTTTAATGTTTCTCTTTCTGGTGTTACAATTGCCTTTCCCAATAGATAAATTTGTTATCCCCAGGAGGCCAGAGGTCGGTCCAATGTTCTTTCATTGCATATGGATAAGTTCTTTTTTTAAATCTTATTCATTCTTTATTTCCCAGAAGGTGCCTGCTATATACCAGACAGTCAAGAAATGACTTGAATTAAAACAGAAAATTTAAATTTATAAAATTTAATTTTTATACACGTTAGTAGCCTTTAAATATTTAATTTTTTTACTGAAGTAACGTCACAACTTGTTATACATACTACATTAAGTTCACTACCAAAAGTTCAAATCTGTAGATTCTTAAAGGTAATATGTAGTTCCATGGGATTTAATTAAGAGCTAAATGCGAAAGAAAAGCAATCATTGCAATAGCATTCTATATTTCCTTTATGGAGGCAACAGAGGCTTACAACACTATACATAACTCAGATATAGGATCATACCTCTTCATATGTATGTCATCACATCAATAGAAATATTTTATTAATAATGTTGTTAAAAGTGAATTAATTCTAACATTTATGAAACTATTGGTCCATAAGTACAGATAAAGTTTTTCCTTTCAATTGGATATTTGGGGAGTTCAACAACAATGTGTCCAACATCTATATATGATGTGTGCATATGAACAATCTATTCACATATATAATACATTCATATGCTCATGTACATGATCTCTACTATTAATAAACTTGCTACAGAGAAAAATTGTGATTATCACCAATGGTAGAATTATATATAAAGGGACCACAGACTAACCTCACTAAATTTCACATACTAAAGCTCAGTATAAAATAGGTCAATCCTGAATGTTACCTAGTGTTTATTTTTAGAATCACTTTTACTATAATCCTTCAGCATGCATGATGAGGATGTCATTACAGTGGTGTTCTACTGCATCAGAAATTACTATAGTCTGCTTTCAATCTAAATACCCACGTTAGTGGGTATTATCCAGGATCTAACTCCTTCACAGAGTGTCCTTTGGGAAGAAATTGTACTGTTTATCATTGCCTTGCCTAGAAAATAAGCAGGAAAATAAAAAAAGATTTAGCCTTTTCATTTTCTCTGCTTGTTACAAGTGCTGTTTCGTGAGAGAGGAAAGAAATGAGTAGGCTGAAGTTTAGGGATTTATCTGTAGTTTTTGTTTTTTTGCTTTTTAATTCTGTGTCTTCTCTCTTCCTCATTAAATATTGCTGGTTGAAAGTTGCACATGTCTTTATGGGAAACAAATCCTATATACTCCAAATATCAGAAATCCTCTGAATAAATCAGACTAGACAACGAAGCAATGAACTAGTGCCTAGTAGAAGAACTATAATTGAAATTACCTGTGGTGGAAGCAATGGCAGTCTGATGTAAGAAAGCAGCATTGCTAGGTCTCGCTGCCTAGCAGACACGTCGTGCCCCACCCACTGCATAAGAGCATGGAAAATGGTTTCTTCATCAGGCACATTGATATCATCACTACACAGAAGTTTTGAAATTTCATTAGCTGGAAGCAGGAGGAATTCCTGGTTCTTTATTACCTCTATGAAGTGTTCCTAGAAAAGAAAGGTCTTCTACTGAAATTTTGTACTTTAGAAACATAATAACAAAGAAGTTCACACATTTTAAACTTCAGACAAAGCCAGAGAGACAGATATATGCATTTATAACAAATAGATTCTATTGCTGCCTGTGAGAGGGAGCCTGGGGGGAGCCTTCTGAAGCTGAGGAACCAAATGCTTCCCCTGTGAATTATTTATTGAACACAAAGAGAAGCCTTAACTGCTTCAAAGGTCATACTGATAGTGTCCAAGTTGATACCATTACTTTTCTTTCCCAGTTGTTGTAGATAACAACAGCTTAACATTCCAGAACTGACTGATGTTGGGTTGATCTTTAACCAAAAACCTTAATGTAAAGGTTGAAAAATTTCAAGGTAGAGGTAGCTCTGGCTGTGCATTTGAGGTGGCTCAAATGAACTCCTCTGAGATGAAAAAAAGAGGCTGATGAAGTCTTTCTTCTTATAAGGAAACATTATCTGTTAGCCAAGACAAAGGTGTCTTTAACAATGGATAATGATCTTCAAATTCAGGACGATCTAAAAGGGACTCTTATGGAGTTATTTTTTGGTGAGACAGTGGGGCTTTCAATTTTTATATACTATACCTCAGTTCTCCCTTTTGTGTTGTCTTACATTTTGTCAAGTATCAAATTTCAGACAGATGTGTTTTAATTTTTTTCAGCAAAACACCACTATACTTTTCTAGTTTATACATTGTTCTTTGACCACAAAATTATTTCTAACATTTTTCATGGTTTTAAATGCAATAAAATAAACTTCTGAAATGGAGATGACCAGTGTAGTTGGTAATTTATATTGTAAAATAAGTAGATATTCTGGCAACAAGACCACCTTGAATAAATGTAGGGGAGAGAAGTGGGGTTTATGATAAATCAAATCATTCCCTCAGATTCAATCTGAGTTAATTCCATTAGAACTGAGTTCACCTCACAGTAAAATTAACCATACACCAATCATCAAGTTTGATAGACCCACCGGGGAGCTCTGATTCTATAAGATGTAAATTAACTTGCATATTTAGGCAAAAGCCCTCTTGAGATTAAGGCAAACAATTGAGAGAGAACTGCTCTTCTTACCACAGCAGATGTCCCCAGTTGAAAACACTTTCACCTATAATGAAGCTAATAGTACAACTAGTAATGCATTATACTTGCATAGTATTAAACACTCTACAGAATTCTTTCACAAACATTGAGTCATTACCAATGTGAGCTTGTGAGAGATGGAATTCTGATGAGGAAAGAGGCTAACTGAATGGTTTGATCTCTCATGAAGTAAATGGCATAAGTTTAGCATAAGTTTTCAGGTCTACTTCATTTGGTTCAGTATCATGTCTATTATAAGTGACAAAATTTTTATAAAAGTGTTAAGAAAAAGACAAAACACTGTAAAATATGTTTACCTATTATTGGTAGTGCATGTAAACTCTGAAACTGTGTTAATATTATGGAAGTCCCTGTCTCCCAATCCCCTTTTTAGCCATTCTCTAATGAAAGAAGAAAAAGAAAATGAGAGTAAGAATGAGGGCAAAAGCAAAAGCTAGAATGAGAGAACAAAAGAGAGATACAAAGGTAGATTGACTCAGTTTGTAAAAACTTCTCAGTGGCTAATGTGGATCACAGTAGCATCTATCAAATTTGATTACCCATTTGAGAATGTTAAGAAATGATGAAAATGGTTTATTAAGAAATGATTAAAAAGGTCATATTCACATATGGCCAGAAATTAGATTTTTTGATAGAAATTGTTATGGCCTCAGAGTGACAACCTGATGAGGCTACTGAAAATTGCTTGACGATATTATTCTAAATCATAAATAAATGCATAGGGTCAATATATCATTTTGTGGCACTGCAGTATTCTGTATTATAGAAAAATACTTGTTTAACTTAAAGACTAATTCTAAATTGTCTTATTTTGGAATTATTTTGGCCTATTTCTTTTTTCTCGTCAGTTGTTTTTCTTTTCTTTTTCCTTTGTTTTTTGTAATTTTAATTTTGCTCCTAATTTCTATGTAAATACTTTCTTCTATAGTTCTGTATTTCTTCCCGAGTCTTCTTTTGAACCTTTGATTCAAAACTGATTTTTTAAAATCCACATTTACATTGTTATAAACTTTATTAAATGAATATAGCATGTTTGCAGAATGTTTCACTGAATAGCACTATTTATTTGATTATGATAGTTACTTTTATATGCCAAATTGAGCCACAGAGTGTCCAGTGTTTTTGTCACACTTTATTCTAAAGTGTCTGTGAGGGAGTTTCTGGATGAAGCCCAATCACATCAGAGAGGGCAATCTGTTTTATTCACTTTATGATTAATATAACTGTACCTGAATTCTTAGAGTTTAGCATTATTTGTAGACTTTAAAATCATTTGCATTTTTATACTATCATTTGCATTTTATACAATCTTTTGCATTTTTATACTATCAATTTTCATTTCTATAAAATCATTAGCATTTTTATACTATGGTCTTTAGTTATTAATTGTATTTATAATAGATGCTAAAATAACTTGGGAAAAAAAGGTGATTAAAGGAGAGAGTATTACCCTTTGATGCACATCCTGCTTTAACACTCAGCTTAAGGCACTTACTAGGAAAAGGAAGGCATGTGCGTTTTGAGCAACAAAAATAATTCAAGCTGTTTATCAGAATGTTTTGTCTGCAAGCGTAAGATACCAGACAGGAAACTGTTAATATTTAGTTCAAGAATCTAATTAAACAGGAAGTTTTTATGTTTGGCTTTTGTGGTAGGATAAACCTTTCAACTATATAACTGTTATCCCTATAGATTATATGGCATCTGTATTTAAGTCAGAGGAATATAAAAAACATAAGTAAATGCCATTATGCTAAAATGAAAATCCAATAAGATGTAATTATCAACATCAAGGTTTGTTTCAGGAATATGTTTGAAACTTCAATTTTAAACAATGATCTGGGATGGGAAGAGAAGGAGATAGTTCTACAACAAATTTGTAGAGAATTAAAATGTTAGAAATTTGAAAAAATTAAGATCCACAGACAATACTAGAAAAATGTTTATATGTATATCAATCCTAAAATTGTAGACGACTTATTTATTACTTTTAAATGTGATTCTTTATCATATCATTCACTTTTACATACTTGCTTTTAATTTTAAGCCTTAAAAACTAGAGAAATTTTCTTTTCTTGAAATATTTATCTTTTGATGGGGTTTCTAATGTTTTGTTCCTTGCTTATGAGGTTAAAAAGTTTGTTTTCATTGTAACAGAGAATTATCAGCATTAATAAATAGCATTTATTTATTAGCCTCCATCTATGTTTTCTTGCCTCCCTACACATAATCTATATTTCATGTCATTTTTACTGGATTGAGTAGAGCTAATCTTATCACATGCAACTTTTAAAGAATGAACACATATGAACAAGTTTAATTTATTATAATAATGAATAGAATTGAAAGAGATTTTTAGTTAAGGATTAAATTTCAAATTTTTTAACCAAAATGCATATTTTTAAGACAAAAGATCCATTCAATAGACTTACTAATTTTGATAGTTCTTAAGTTCTAGTTAATATTGATTTCCTATTGAATGATATTTAAATTTCATTAGAAATTATAAGTTCTATAATTTTACAAACTCAAGTTTTAATGCTTAAAAACACCAGGAAAATCTTATTTTCTTAAAACTGAGGATTCTACTTGAAGTATCTATTTGTAGATTTTAATTTTTGAAAGTATTTTCATTTTTTCAAGCTTTGAGATTTAATTTAACCATTTTAGTTTCAAAAATAAGAAACTTGAGTACAGCTCAATCAGACAAATACTTTTTATCTATTACATGCAAGACATTTGCAAACTGTGTAATTTATATTGCTTTTTAATTTTACCCCAACATTATAATCTTAATTTTGAAAAGATTATACACATGCACACATATCAGTAAACAAATGAATTAGCTAAGTATTGTGTTAACATAGTATTAATGCAACTTAATTTGAAGCAATTATTTTACCATTGTGTATTTATGTGCCACATTCAGGAGCTCGGTACAGCCCTGAGCATCTCCAAATGATCGAATCCCTAGGCAGTTTGAAGGATGGAGCTGCTTTATGAGAAAATTGGAGCAAACTTCAATGACCTGAGTCAGCTGTAAGAGACAAGCTGCAGCCAGCAAATTTTCAATAGTATCTTCTTTCAATTGCAGGATGCCTATATGGTTTGAAAAAGTAAAGGATGATTATATGTCCCATAAATTAAGGTACAAATATGATAGCTAAATGAATTTTTTTCAATTTCTCTCAGTACAGCTATCTTTTCTAGTTTGCATTAACAAGTAAGGAAATACCTTCTGAGTAACTTATGCAAAGGAATATGTATAAGCACTAATAAGACAGCTGAAGGAAGCTAAAATAGATTATCAAAAACAACTGTAGTAAATAAACAGTGACAAACATCATTGCAAAAATCAAAAGCTTGATATTTCTTTATCATCTTAGATCTTCATCTATATCTTATATGAAAAACTGCCTACATTATAACTTAAGAAGCATTATGTCATATTATATAAATAAACATCATGCAATTGACCATACAGATAACTGTTATTTGTGTGGGAAAACACCTTGGTAAAGAAGAACAGAGAGCTTATATGTACATTTCTATTTTTTTTTTAAAGATTTATTTATTTATACAAGCACTCGGTACAGTCAGAAGCGCCGGAGGGCGAGAGAATTCACCAGAGCCAGAGAGGAGCGCAGAGCAGGTAGAAGGACCGAAGTACACTGTTGAGGGGAGTAGCAGGCAGGACAGGAGAGGTCTGCTCGCCATGTGGGCCCCTTGCCAGCAGCCAGGGATCTAACCGGTGCTGCAGAGGCTGTGGGCAGCTTTGCAGCCCAGCACTCAACCGCTGCGCCACCAGGGGAGGCCCTTATATGTACATTTCTTTACATGTGCTTTTGTTACCAGATAGGAATGACCTTTCAAAAATACTATGCCTGGAATTGATGTCTGATTCTGTTTCAAAAAAAAAAAAAAATGTTTCCAAGAGTCCAAAAGTAAACTTTCAACAATTACCAAGCCATGGAATCAATCTAAATGCCCATCAGCAGATTCCAGAAATTGGAATCAAATAAAATACAATATCAAATTAAATACAACTCAGCTATTATAAAAATCTTTTGCAACAAAATGGATGGAGCTGGAGGTGATTATTCTAAGTGATAAACATCAGAAAATGTAAAATGCTGGATGGTTTCATTTATCTGTGGAATATAACTATACGTATACACACACACACACACACACACACACACACACTGGCAAAATACAACAAAATGAAATCTTACATCTTTCTATCTGCTCCGGGAGTTATATTGCAGGTTCAAATCTTTACAAACATACTTTCATACTCTGCCCGCTCTACCAATGTCCGCTCCAAAAAAAAAATTAAAAACTTATCAAACCATTCACATTGTTTGGCAACTTAAAATAGTTCGGGCAGGGCATGGCCTCCCTGGTGGCACAAAGGGTTAAGACACAACTATGAGGCTGTCGCAGCCACTGCTGCATGAGTTCAATCCCTGGCCAGGGAGTGACCCACATGGCGCAGCAGACCTCTTCTGTCTCACCCGCTGCTCCCCTCAGCAGTGTATTTCAGTCAATCTGCCTATTGTGCTCCCTACTCTCTCTCTGGTGAATCCTCTCACCTCCCACACCTCTGGCCTGTACCCCAGTTCTTGTATGTATAAATATTAAAAAAATAGTTTGTGTATACTTTACCATGATAAAATGTTTTGTAAGCAAAAAAAAAAAAAAAAAAAAAAAAAAAAACCTTAATGAAAAGTTACTGGCTACCAGAGGGAACAGAGGAGGAAGAAGCGACTAGTGGAAGAGGAAAGGCATTGTCACAGGAGGTGTCAGGGAGGGTGAGTGAAGCATTTGCACATGGTGGAGAAGTAAAAATGTAACCCCAAATTTATGCAGACATGTGAACAACTGACAAATGTAATTCAACATTAAAAAAAACATAAAAATGATGGTATGATTATTTTAGGCATAAAGAGATTCTATTTACAAAATATCCAAGAATTTCTTTTATTATTTTTTAATAAAATATTGATTTACCATTGGTTTACAATGCTATGTAAGTTTTGGGAGTGCAACTTAACGTCTCACTATAAGTATATATCCCACTGCAGTCACCACCGTAGTGCTAGTATCATTCACCATTATCAAACTGACCCCCTTTTACCAATTCCTCCTAATCAGCATTCCATTCTCCTCTAGAAACCACCATATTTTTCTGATTCTCAGATTCATTTTTGTAGCTTTTTGTTAGTTTCTTTGCTTTTATATTGCACATTATGAGTATGTCTTTCAATTTCTGACATTTAAAATGAGATTAGAGCAATTTAAATAATTTATATTGCTATAACTATCATTTTTAGAAAAAGCATTATTGATAATTACTGCAAATATTGTGTGTTATTTTGATAAGCTATATTTTTATTTTTATTGTTATTGCTAAACTATAAGTTATGAAAAATATTTCATACCACTTATATAAACTGAGTACATTATCCCTTTATGTTTGCCTTGTAAAATAATTTCATATGGAACTTATGTGGTTGTATCACCACAGAGAAAACGATAATATGTACTGTGAAATTCTCCATACTTCGTTTGGCATCTAAAATATGTTGTGAAGAGGTTCAGTCCATCAGCAAACATTCCAGTACTGCTTCTTTGCCTGGATTTTGATGAGGAAGCCCTATCCATATATCATGATCTACTGAAGTATGAATTACTCTCAGATTCATATCTAAGGATTCACCAGCTATAAACATTGAAACTTGACCTGGTTATTAAGAATATTCATTTCCTTTGGCCAAGTATTCAAGGATGATGTAATACCCCTCCTTCTCAGACTCTTCCAAATTATTGAGGAGGGAATGCTCCCTAACTTCTTTTATGAGACCAAATGATGCTGATACCAAAACATGACAAGGATACTACACAAAAAAAAGAAAATTTCAGGTTAATATTGCTGATGAATATAGACACAGAAAACCCCAACAATATATAACCAAGATGAAAATATATACATTGTGCAAAAATGAAAAATGATGTAAAAATATGTAACATAAAAAAATAGCAGCAAACAGAATTCAGCAATACATTATTCTAGGGATGTAGATGTTTCAACACATGTAAATCCATCAATGTGATTCATCAAATGGACAAAATGACAGATGCAAATCATATGATCAATAGATGCAAAAAGAAAGATTTGATAACATGCAAAAATCCATTTATGATTAAAAACTCTTAATAAAATGATAGAAGAAAAATACAATACTTAATAAAAGCAATATATGTAAAACCTGTAGCTAGCCTGGGTCACTAATTGAGAAAAATCAGTGGGGAAATAAAAGAAGGCTTTCCCCCTAACATCAGGAGTAAGACAAGGGTGCTGACTGTCACCACTATTATTTAACATAGTATTGGAAGGGCTGGCCAGAGAGATTAGGCAAGAAACAAAAAAAGTTACCCAGATTAGAAAGGAGTAAAACTGTCACTATATGTAAATGATATATTATATATAAAGAAAACCTGAAGGATCTCACCAATACACTGAAATAATAAAGGAATGCAGTAAAGGAGTAAGCTACAAAATCAATATGCAAAAATATATTGTCATTCTACATGAAAACAATTATGATCACATCAAAAAGCATAAAGTATCTAAGAAACAATTTAACCAAAGACATGAAAACTGAAACTATACACTGAAAACTACAAGATTCCAGTGATTAAAGTGAAAACACAAATAAATGGAAAGACAGTCTGTGCTCATGGGTCAGAATAAACAATAATGTCAAAATGGTCTTTCTACTTAAAGCAAAATACAAAGTCAGAGAATCCCTATTTTACAATCCTGAAGGCATTATTCACATAAATATAACAAAATATCCTAAAATTTATATGGAATCACAAAAGGCATCAAATCCTGAAAAAAACAATCCTGAAAAAAAGAACAAAAATGTAGGTATCATGCCCTTTGACTTCAGGTATACTACAAAACTGCAGGTATCAAACAGTATGGCATTGGAATAAAAACAAGCACTCAGATAAATAGAATAGTATAGAAAGAGCTCAGAAATAAAACCACAATATATGGACAACTAATTTATGACAATGAAACTAAGAAAAACAATGGAGAAAGAGAAGATCTCTTCAGTAAGTGATGTTGGATAAACTGGACAGCCACATGCGAAAGAATGAAAATAGACCACTCTCTTATACCATATACTAAATTTAACTCAATATACAAAATACTTGAATGTAAGACTTAAAAATCATGAGATGCATACAGGAAAATGTAGGTGATAAATTCTTTAACACTGACTTTAGTGATGTGTTTGTAAATTTGTCTCCAACAGCAAGAAATAAAAAAGAATAAAAACAAAAGGTCCCATATCAAAGTAAAAAAAAAAAAAACACTTCTATATAGCAAAAAAGCCATCATTAAAATGAAAAGGCAGCCAACTGCAACTGAACAGGAAAATATATTTACAAACCATATATTAAATAAGGGGTTGATATCAAAATACATAAGAAACTCATTCAAGTCAATGACAGCAACGAATAAAACACACACCTCAAATAAAAAGTAGGTGGAGGATTTAAACAGACACTTCAGCAAAAAGACATATTGAAGGCCAACAGCCACAGCCTTCATATTGTATCATTAGAGAAATACAAATCAAAATCAGATAAGATTTTGGGAGTATTTTGGAGGGGTATATTTGGCTTTTTGAGGGTGCAGTGCTGTATAAATATCGATTAGATCCATGTGGTCTAGTTCTTTGTTTAGGGCAATTATATTCTATTTATTTTTCTTCATTGATTTGTCCATTGGTGAGAGTGGGGTGTTTCCAAGTCTCCAACCACATATGTATGTTTTCCGATGTCTGTGGCTTTCAGAGGAGGAGGGATAGAGGGGAGAAATGGGGGTTGAAAAGAGAGTACAGTGGACTGAGAGAACTATGGGTGTTTTGGTGTGTGAGCACTACAGTGGCTACACCTGAGGGGGTATATGCTATATTGTCAAACACAAACAAGATTGTAAAACAATGGTACTTCAATAAAAATAAAATATAAAATACATTAAAACAATAAAAAATGAGCAATAGCCTGACTATATTGCTTTCTTTTTTATTTTAACATTTATCATTTTTATTTTTTTAAATATTTGCTTCCCCCCACCCCCTCAGGTGTAGTCCCCATAGAATTTCCTTCCCCAAGGCACCCATGCACCATCACCACAGTCCCCTGTGCTCCTCCCTCCCTCCCTCTGATCCCTCTCCTTCCTCCTCCCCTGCATTATGTCTCTGGTTTACAATTGTCTGTTTTTGCTTTGTTGTGTTTTGTACTGTTGTTATCATTTTTTTACACTGATGTCTTATTTGGTTCCCCTATATTCCTGTTATAAGTGAAACCATCCAAAACAGAGATAGCCCACTGATTGGGAAAAAATCTTTGCACTCCATTCAACTGATAAGGGACTGATCACAAAGAACTCACAGGGCTCAACAAAAATAAAATAAGCAATCCAGTCAAGAAATGGGCAGAAGAACTCAAAAGACATTTCTTCAAACAGGAAATGCAAATGGCCAACAGGCATATGAAAAAAATGTGCAAATCAAAACCGCAATGAGATACCACCTTACACCAGTAAGAATGGCACATATCAAAAAAACAAGCAACAGTAAATGTTGGCGAGGATGCGGTTAAAAAGGAACTCTCTTATATTGCTGGTGGGAGTGCAAACTGGTCCAACCACAGTGGAAAGCTGTCTGGAAGTTCCTTAATCTACTAAAAGTAGAGCTACCATATGTTCCGGCAATTCCACTACTAGGGATCTACCCAAAGGACTGACTATATTTCTAAAGAAAAATGCAAGTGGCTAATCAGTAACTGAAATGGTACTCGAAACATCACTAATCATTAGGGAAATACAAATCCAAAACCACAATGAGCTATTATTGCTGCACACTTGTTTGTATGGCTATTATCAAAAAGAGGAGATTACAAATATTGCTCAGGACTTGGAAGAAAAGGAAGACTAATTCAGAGTATGAAAACACTAATACAAAAAGACTTATACCCTATATCATAGCACCATTATTCACAAAAGTCAAGACAATTTAATCCTCATCCATAGAAGAAATATATATCAAGAAATTGGAGTATATATCCTGAATGAAATGGTACTCATCCATTTAAAAAGATGTGCTTTGGGGGACAAAATTAATGGATTTAAATTTGATTATCTAAATAAAAAAATCACAAAGTGAAAGAATTAACTGGGTAGTTTCACTTATTTGTGGAAAATAAATAAGCAAAAACAAACAAACAAAAAAACAGGCAAAGCACAACAAAAATGAACTCTTTGACCCTGTGGAAAATATAGTGGCTAACAGGAGAGGGGATGGAAGAAGGAAAGGCGAGTCATATGCAAGTATTAGTGCCAGAACTTTGGTGGAAGGTGAGTGAAGCATGTGGATATGCTGAGGTGTGGTCTACTTCAAAATTATGTAATTATGTGAACAAATGGTAAATCAATAAAATTTGATAATCATTTCACATGTATATCATATCATGTTGTGTACACTTTAAAAATATACAGACATATTTTTTGGTTATTTTAATAAAATTTGAAAAAATCAATTGCATATATACAATGTATATATGTACACATATACCCATCCCATTACTCCTTTTGTTTTATAATTTGACTAAATATGACTTTACAATTTCAAAGTAACAGAAAATTAGAATATTCCAACTCCACATTTACAAATGTGAGACGTGCTTTTGTATCATTTTGTTGAAAGAGCTCTATTCTCTCCTGGTCAAAATAATTTCATAGACTATTATTTACCTATAGCTCTTTTATTCCATTGAAATTAAATCCTCACCTTTCCCCTTATTACATTTGGAAAGTTACTTAACTGGTCTATCCTTCACTTTACTTGTACAGTAGGGATAAATAATAATAATGACTAATAATATGGGTCCTATAGTGTATAGCTATTGTGAAGATTGGATGGGTTAACAGATGCCAGGCACTTACCTGTGTAAGCATACTGCACTAAGGAATTAAGTGCGTTAGGATCAACCCCTTCCATCTTGACTTCTTCTTGTTTGGCTTCAAGCACATCATTTGTAAACATTGCAGCAAAATAATCAGACACTGCACTGAGAACCAAGCTGGAAATAGGAATGTTTCATAGGAACTTAACTCAGTTTATAATCTTACTGAAAAGCATGAAATGTAGTCAATACGTTTGCTATACTGGTACGCTTGCTTGCTGCTAATTTCTTTACAGTTCAGCAAAGTGTAGTGAAATTAGAAAAGTAAATTAAGTAATTGACCTTATTTTAGAGGGCTTATGTTTCTTCATCAATTACTCTAAAGTTTGACTCTTCTATACATCACACAAGGAACTAGGTCACATATGCCAGTGTTTCATCAACAGTAAAGATAAAAAATATATTTGCCTTAATTTTCCAGTTTGTAATCAATAGTCTGATTTTTTTTCTCATTGATACACATTCTAATAAAAAAAAAACTGTATATCTGAATAAGGATACTTACCGATGGGCTGGGATTCGAAGGTGTCCAGCAATTAGTAGCACATCACACAGTTGTTTTTCTTTCAGGTAGTTCTCCATTTTATGTAGCATTTCCTGTGCATGGTTTACAGCATAGAAATGCTCCTCAGACCTGTTGACATTCATTTCCTCAGGATGTTGGGTAGCTAATCTGATAAGTGGATTTTAATAATAAGAATATAGCTTATTCACCTAATGAGCATATAAGTATGCTATGGAAATTTAAGTAAACCTGTTTCTAAAAGAAATATGAGATTAGGGCCTCCCTGGCAGCACAACAGTTGAGCGCTGCGCTAGGAAGCTGTCCGCAGCTTCTGCAGCGCAGGTTTGATTCCCGCCAGCTGGGGAGAACCCCACATGGTGCAGCAGACTTCTCCTGCCTCGCCTGCTGCTCCTCTCAGCAGTGTCTTCAGTCTGTCTGCCTGTTCTGCTCCCTGCTCTGGCTCTGGTGAATTCTCTCACCCTCCCGCGCTTCTGACCTGTACCTCAGGTCTTGTATAAAATAAATCTTTAGAAAAAAGAGAAATATGAGATTAAAGAAAATTTAAAATTTACCCTTTGCAGGGACAATCAGAGTTACAGCAGATAAGATATTCAGCTTTAAAAAGTAATCAGATAGAGATGGACACTGTAGGGTAGGTAAAAGGTATCAGGCTTTTCTGCCCTCCCGCCATTAGGATAGATGAGGTAACCCTGTGGTCCTGAATGCATGCCTGATGGTGGGCACCTGAAGTGGGTACAGCTGGGCTGAGAGACGGGACTTTTAAGGGCGGCGTCACGGGGATGCCAGCAGCAGCAGAAGTGGAGAGAGGTAGGGGAGAGGGAAGAACGCCGGAGAGCCAGATAGAGTGAAGACTTGCTGGGGGTTGGGAGGCCTAGCCAGCCTCCCTGCCCCCCAGTACCCCTGCCTGCTGTGTACCTGGTAAACCCCAATAAAAGCCTGCAAAAAGCCATGGAGGACTCTGACTCCTCCTTTACCCGGTCTGCTGGATCATAGAAAACCTGCTCTGTGGTCTCCCTGACCCTACAGACACTATATGATAATTAAGGGAACAATATATCAGGAAGATTTAACACATCAATATATATGTACTAAATGAAGGGCATAAAAAGACATAAGGCGGGCCTCCCCGGTGGCGCAGCGGTTGAGCGCTGGGTTGCGAAGCTGCCCGCGGCCTCTGCGGCGCCGGTTCGATCCCCGGCTGCTCCCCGGCCACCGGAGGAGGGTCCCACATGGCGCGCAGACCTCTCCTGCCACCCGCTGCTCCCCTCAGCAGTGTACTTCGGTCCTTCTGCCTGCTCTGCTCCCCGCTCTGGCTCTGGTGAATTCTCTCACCCTCCCATGCTTCTGACTGTACCCAGTGCATGTATAAACAAAACAAACAAACAAACCAGCAAACAAATAAATAAAGCATGCCTCTATAAAAAAAAAAAAGACATAAGGCAATTATTATCAAATCTGAAACCAGGCATTAGCAGCAACACAATAACCATCAGGGATGTCTATACATCAGTTTCACCAATGGACAGATAAACTAGGCTGAAATTAAACAAGGAAACAATAACCTTAAAATGAGGATTTAGGCCTGTACGGGCAGGATTGGCCCGGAGCAGGTTTTCTAGGATCCAGCAGACCAGGTAAAGGAGGAGTCAGTCCTCAGTGGTTTTTGTAGGTCTTTTATTGGGATTTACCCAGTACACAGCAGGCAGGGGCGCTGGGAGGCTGGCAGGCCTCCCAGCCTCCAGTAGGTCTTCACTCTGGGCTCTCCAGCCTTCTCTCAGCTTCTGCTTCTCTTGCTTCTCTCTTGGCTTCTTTTTTGGCTTCTTCTGCTCTTCTCAGCTTCTGCTGGCATCCACATGACGCCGCCCTTAAAAGCAGTCTTAGCTCAGGTGAATCCCATCTACCTATACCCACACCCTACTCCAGGTGCCCCCCATCAGGCATGCATTCAGGACTGCAAGGATCCATCATCTATCCTCATGGCGGGAGGGCAGAAAAGCCTGACATTTTTTTCCTTACCCTTCAAGGCCATATGGGCTTAATGGAAATTTATAGGACACCAAACCTGCAAAAAGTTGAATACACATTCTTCTCAAGTGAATATGGAACATTTCCAAGATAGTCTACATGATTGGTCACTGTAGTGCCAGAAAGCACAGGGCACATTCACTATCAATTTGGACAGATGGATAAAACAGAGTCCCAGAGCCCTCAGTGGGGTTTTCAGGATTTAATGCTCTCAGGGAACCAGGTACACAGGGACACCAGGCAGGGAGGCTGGCATGCAAAGAGGCAGGCATGGGCCAGGCAGGGAGTGCTAGGAGGCTGAGAGGCAGTGTAGTGACAGGAAAGCCACAGAGCAGGATCTCTATGATCCGAGCAGATGGGTAAAGGAGAGTCCTGGAGCCATTGGTGGCTTTTCAGTCTTTTATTGAGCATTTACCAGGTACACGGCAGGCAGTGGGGCCCTAGGGCCTGGCCTCCCAGGGCTGGTGGCGAATCTTCACTCTTTCTGGACTCCCTGCCGTTCTCTTAGTCTCTACTTCTCTGCTGCTCTGCTCTCGTTCTCTCTGCTCTCATTCATTTCTCTTTATCTTGTTTCTCTGCTCTCTTCTGCTTCTCCTTCATTCTCCCGCTAGCATCCCCATGACGCCGCCCTTACAAGCCCAGTCTCAGCCCAGGTGTACCCACCTACGTATGCCCACAACCCACTCCAGCTGTCCACCATGAGGCATGCATTTAGGACCACCGGGATCCATCATTAATCCTAATGGTGGAGGGCAGAAAGTCCTGATAATAACTTATTCTACGGGCAGGCAGGCAACCAAGTCCCCCAACCCCCCATGAATCTTTATGCTCTTTCTCTGGCCTCACTCTGGCATTTCTCTCTCATGTTGTCTTATAGTCTCGTCTCTTCTGTAGCCATGTTACTTGCACTCTCACTGCCGCCCACGCTGCTGCTGTTATTCCAGCCAGTAGGCTCAGGTGTGCATACTTGCACATGACCGCATGTGCACACACCCATACTCCAAGTGTCCACAATCAGGCATGTGTTTCCCGTGCCCACGCTTCCAAGCGCCCTCTGCATTAACACGATCAAGGTTACAGGTGATAGCCACAGAGGCTAGTGGCATAAAAATCCTGATTAATTCATATACCCTACTGTAGGGTAAAGAAAATATCAGGCTTTTCTGCCCTTCCGCCATCAGGATAGATGATGGATCCTTGTCCTGAATGCATGCCTGATGGCGGGCACTGGGAATAGGGTGTGGGCATAGGTAGATGGGATTCAGCTGAGCTAAGACTGTGCTTTAAAGGGCGGCGTCACGGGGACGCCAGCAGCAGCAGCAGAAGCCGAAACAGAAGCCGAAAGAGAAGCCGAGAAGCAGCAGAACGAACGCCAGAGAGCCCAGATAGAGTGAAGACTTGCACCCCTACAGCCAGCACCCCTACCTGCCATATGCCTGGTGAACCCCAATAAAAGACCTGCAAAAAACCACTGAGGACTCTGACTCCTCCTTTACCCGGTCTGCATGGGATCAGAGAACCTGCACTGTGTCCATTCCAGCCTTTACACCTACAGTCACCAAAAAAGTATCATTAAATTCATAAAGATCAAAATCCTATCAAGTATCTTCTCTAACTGCAATGACACCAAACTAGAAATTGAGCACAAAAATACAGTAGGAAAACGTCTAATATATGGACATTGAATAACACACTTCTGAAAGCCTATTGGATAAATGAGGGGAAAAAAGAAGAAATTTAAAAACATATAGAGATGAACAAAAATAAATAAACAAGCTTTCAGGCTCTATGGAACACAGCAAAAGCAGAAATAAGAGGAAAGTATATAGTAGCCTAGGCCCACATCAAGAAACAAGAAAGAGCTCAAGTAAACAACTTTACCTCTCACATCAAGATTTTAGAAACATCGGTAGAAGGAAGGGAGTAATAAAAAAAAATAGAGCAAGAACAAATGATATAAAAATCAAAAAGTACAAGGCATCAATGAAATACAAATCTGGTTCTGTAAAAAAATCAACAAAATAGAAATGCCTCTAGCAAGACTCACTAAGAAAAAAGGGATAAAAAATCAATGGAAGCAGAAACAAAAGATGAAAAATCACAACAGGCATTTCAGAAATACAAAAGATCATGAGGTTACTAGGAGCAACTATGTATCAACAAATTGAAAAATCCAGATGAAATGGAGAAATTCTTAGCAATCTACAACACTTCAAGACCCAGCCAGGAAGAAATAGAAAGCCTAAACAGACAAACCACAAGCAAGGGAACTGAAACAGTAATCAAAAAATCGAGGTCCAGAGGGTTTCACTAGTGAGTTCTAACAAATCTTTAAAAATCAACTAATACATATTTTACTCAAAACTCTTCCAAAACTTGAGACAGAGGAGAAGATTCCATATACTTTTTTATAAGACCAACATCACTCTGAAACCAAAACCAGACAAAGAGAATATAAGCAAAGAGCATTACAGATCAATTTCTCTGATGATCATAGATACAAAAATTATCAACAAAATTTTAGCAAACCAAATCAAACAATATATCAAAAGAACTGTACATCATGACAAATGGGATTCATTTAATGACAAAGGGATGGTTCAACATCTGAAAATCAATGAATGTAATTCATTAAATCAACAATAAGAATGAAAAACATGATTATATGAATAGCTGAAGAGAAAGCATTTGATGAGATTCAGAATCCATTTATGATTTAAAAAACCTTAAAACACTGGGATAGACAGAACATTCATCACCGTAAAAGCCATATAAGACAAACCCACAGCCAACATATTACTTAATAGTGAAAACTGAAAGCTTTCCATCTGAGATCTAGCACAAGACAGGGATGTCCAGTTTTATCACTACTATTCAACAAATTACTGGAAGTCCTAGATAGAGCGATCAGGCAAAATAAAGTTATAAAAGGAATCTACATTGGGAAGAAGTATAACTTTTATTTTTGCAGATGACATGATAATATATGTAGGAAAAAACCTTAAAAACTCCACTAAAAAACTGATTAAAATCATAAATCAATTCCCTAAAGTGGCAAGGTACAAAATCAACCTGCAAAAATCAGTTGCATTTTTATATACAAACACATATGAAGAGAAGAA